GCCCGAAGTTGCATCATGATCCCTGAACAGCTTATAGGAGGCTACCACACCGGAAATGAGCTTCCACGGTATTTATAGACGTTTTGATTCTGTACAGGTAGTAGTGACCAAGGTTGGAGGCTTTGTCTTCCCACGGAATAATATCAGGTTCAAATCCCTCTGCGCATGATGGACCACAGGTGCCTGAGACTAGTCACTTATGGCAATTACCATTACAACCCTACCTAAATAGTTGGACCTAAATTCAAGGCCAGATAATACAAGAATTTGGTGGAGGCTGGCTGGACCCTTTTACATTTGAGTTATTCAGATCAGCTTTTTTTTATTTTCTTGCGCGGACAGAGTCTTGCTTGTTCCAGGCGAGTGGCAGGGTGGCATGATCTCGGCCTTCACCTCAAGCTCCCGCTCCAAGGTGTTCACACCTTTCTCCTGCCTCGGCGCTCCCTTAGTTAGCGGGGACCACGGTACCACCACCACACGTCAGTAAATTTTTTGTACTTTTAGTACAGACAGAGGTTTCCACCAGCTGTTAGCCCGCAGGATTGTCTCAATCGCTGACCCATGATCCGGCCCCCTCCAGCCTCCCAAAAAATGCTGGGATTACAGGCGGTGAGCCACCGCGCCCAGCCTCAGATTCAGCTTTTAAGGTAACAATGGCAGACATCAGCCACATCATTACCGTATTTAATTCGATTCTTATATTTTATAACTTGGAAGCAAACCAAAGGTTGAGATGTTACTTCATAATCCAAACAATAAAAGACATTTAATAGATTATTCACCACTCTGACCAGAGGGAAATTCAGCGCTTATTAAATATTCTTCTCCTACCATGTCGTCCCATCGACGCAGTACTGCGAAACCTCAAAACAAGGAAGGTTTTAAGTATTTTTGCAGTGTAAAGATTCCTACTGCCAAAACCCATCTGTCAGTTTGTAAATTTGTGGTCACACACTTAAACATTGTCTTTCTGGCTTTATTCCTCACCCTCCTCTGCCAGTCTGGTATAAGGTCTCCGCATACTGCACAACTTTCTCTGCGTATATTTTTTCGTTTAAAAAGCACTTCACATCTGGCCAGATGCGGTTGGTCATGCTTGTAATCCCAGCACTTTGGGAAGCCTAGGCGGATGGATCACTTGAGGTCAGGAGTTTGAGACCAGCCTGGCCAACATGGTGAAACCTTGTCTGTACTAAAAAGTACAAAAAATTAGCTGAGTGTGGTGGTGGGTGACGATGGTCCCCGCTACTAGGGAGGCCGAGGCAGGAGAATGGTGTGAACCCTGGAGGCGGAGCTTGAGGTGAGCTGAGATCATGCCACTGCACTCCAGCCTGGGCAACAGAGCAAGACTCCGTCTCGAGAAAAAGAAAAAAAAAAAAAGCTGATCTGAATAACTTCAATGTAAAGGGTCAGCCAGCCTCACCAAATTCTTTTATTTATCTGAGCCTTGAATTTTAGGGTCCAACTATTAGGTAGGGTTTTAATGGTAATTGCCATAAGTGATAGTCTCAGGACACCTGTGTCCATCATGCTGCAGAGGGATTTGACCTGTATTATTCTGTGGAGACAAAGCTCCAACCTTGGTCACTACTACCTTTACAGGAATCCAAACGTCTATAAATACCTGGAAGCTCATTTCCTGTGTGGTAGACCTCCTATAATGCTTTCAGGGATCATGATGCAACTTGGGCGAGATACTCTGAAACCATGTTTTCATCTACTCTGTTTTAAGTATTTTTGCAGTGTAAAGATTCCTACTGCCAAAACCCATCTGTCAGTTTGTAAATTTGTGGTCACACACTTAAACATTGTCTTTCTGGCTTTATTCCTCACCCTCCTCTGCCAGTCTGGTATAAGGTCTCCGCATACTGCACAACTTTCTCTGCGTATATTTTTTCGTTTAAAAAGCACTTCACATCTGGCCAGATGCGGTTGGTCATGCTTGTAATCCCAGCACTTTGGGAAGCCTAGGCGGATGGATCACTTGAGGTCAGGAGTTTGAGACCAGCCTGGCCAACATGGTGAAACCTTGTCTCTACCAAAAAACAACCAAAAAAAATTAGCAGGGCGTAGTGATACGTGCCTGTAGTCCCAGCTACTCAGGAGGCTGAGATGAGAGAATCACTTGATCCCAGGAGGCATAGGTTGCATTTAGCCAAGATCGTACCACTACACTCCAGCCTGGGTGACAGAGTGAGACCCTGTCTCAAAAAAATTTAAAAGAAGCACTTAACATCTTTTTTTCTTTTCTTTTTTTTCTTCTTTCCCTCCTTCCTTCCCTCCTTCCTTCCTTCCTTCCTTCCCTCCCTCCCTCCCTCCTTCCTTCCTTCCTTCCTTCCTTCCTATTTTTTTTTTTTAATTTGTTTTTCGAGATGGAGTCTCACTTTGTCATTCAGGCTGGAGCACAGTGGCATGGTATCAGCTCACTTCAACCTCCACCTCCCAGGTTCAAGCGATTCTCCTGCCTCACCCTCCTGAGTAGCTGTGATTACAGGCGCCCGGCACCACACCCAGCTAATTTTTGTATTTTTAATAGAGATAGGTTTTTACTGTGTTGGCCAGGCTGATCTTGAACTCCTGACCTCAGGTGATCTGCTCGCCTCAGCCTCCCAAAGTTCTGGGATTATAGGCATGAGCCACTGCGCCCAGCCACTTGTCTCTATTTCTTAAAATGGTACTTAAGAAATCATACATTTTTATAACTACCAGTGTAGAGTGCAGGACATAAACTGGAACAATTGACTTTGAAGGTTAGTAAAGACGCTGGAGATCACTTAAGAAAAAAGGAGATAAATAACAGGCTTGGTTGGAATCCCAGCTACACTATTAGCAAGCTTCACCACCATAGGAGCAGTTGGCTTAAATTCTGAGCCAATGCTGCTGCTTGTGTGAAAGGGAATCATAACTACCACCAGAGGTTTTATAAGGATCAAATATAATATGGAACTGGACAGTGTCTCATGCCTGTAATCCCAGCACTTTGCAAGGCTGAGCTAGGCAGATTGCTTGAGCCCAAGAGTTTAAGACCAGCCTGGGCAACATGGCAAAACACTGTCCCTCCAAAAAATATAAAAATCAGATGGATGCTGTGGTGTACACCTGTAGTCCCAGCTACTCCTCAGGAGGGTGAGGTGAACCACTTGAGCCCAGGAGGCGGAGGTTGCAGTGAGCTGGGATTGTGCCACTGCACTCCAACCTCGGCAACAGAGCGAGACTCCATCTCAAAGAAAAAAGAAAAAGAGACAAGATAGTATGATTTCTTAAGTACCATTTTAAGAAATAGAGACACAGTAGAAGAAAATATCTAATTTGACTCTTCTCTTTCTCTCCCTCACACCCACACTAATTGCCTACTGCATGCTAGATTTATCCTAGGCATTTGTAAATGAGATAGTGTGTCACCTCATAGAAAGAGCAAGATCTGATAGCATGAAAGAGCATTTGGGTATGTTTGTTGGGGGAATGTAGTGGCATGTTATCAAGTACAAACAAGAACTTATACGGAGCTGACAGAAGGATTGCCTATGTTCTTTCAGTGGAAGGGGTTGTGACAGTTGTTTGTTAGTTCCCTGCCTTATCCTTGGAACGAACCTTACCATTTCCTTGAACTCTGGCTGACCAGTATTTGGATGCTGGGGCCTGAAGGCTTTGTCCAGAACCCTGGAAGGCCTTGGCATTTGTAGGGCCCTCTAGAAGTGACTTGGGAATTAACAGCTGCCTGCTCCCTCTCCAGAAGTCCTCAAACAGTGACTGATGAGAGATGAGATGGTATATAAATACAGTCACTCCCTCACCTTTCTAGGTTTTATATTGTTTCCCAGAGATAACCTTGGGATTAAACTCCATTATGCACTCACAAATGACTTGGTAATTAACAGCTGCCTGCCCCCTGTCCAGAAGTCCTCAAACAATGACTGATGAGAGATGAGATGGTATATAAATACAGTAGCTCTCTCACCTCTGTAGGTTTTAGATTGTTTCCCAGAGATAATCTTGGGATTAAACTCCATTTAACTACTTTCATAGTAGTTACCACAGACTGTTTAGTCTGTCTGCTCTTTTACTTTCTCACTTTCTCTGTGACTTGTATTTGACTCTTGGTCTGTCTCAAGATCTGCCTCCCAGGGAGCCGAGATTAAGATAAAATCATTTCTGTTCTGGGAGATTTAATTTATCCTTAGTTTTTCTTCTATAGTTGTCATCAGAGAAACAGAGAAGGGAATTAATACACATTTTTTTAAAACTGTGATTTTGATATTCACTGAGACCACTTCGGGTTTCTAAGAACATTTGATTAAGGATAAGAGCAAATACAAATATATTTCAGTGTACTTTCCACTATTTTATATACATTAATTGTTCCATTCACTTTCAGGGCAGATTAGAACACTGTTAGTTAGAAGAATCATTATTGACACATGTGGAAGCATAGATTCCCTCTGCCTTGCCACTTGTGATAGGAAAATATTTGTTAAATCATCAAGCGAATGAACTGTTTGTGTTTTGAAAGTAAGGGGAAGAGTAGTAAGAGAGCTTACTTACTATAGGTAAAAGAAGAATGCATTTAAAAATTTATCTTAGGGCCGGGTACGGTGGCTCACTCCTGTAATCCCAGCACTTTGGGAGGCTGAGGTGGGTGGATCACCTGAGGTCAGGAGTTTGAGACCAGCCTGGCCAATGTGGTAAAACCCTGTCTCTACTAAAAAAATATAAGAAAATTAGCCTGGCACGGTGGCACACACCTGTAATCTCAATTACTTGAGAAGCTGAGGCAGGGGAATTGCTTGAACCCGTGAGGCAGAGGTTGCACTGCGCAGACATCGTGTCATTGCACTCCAGCTGGGCAACAAGTGCAAGACTCCATCTCAAAAAAAAAAAAAAAAAAATTATTTTAATGAGTAGGACATTGGCATGTCAGTAGAATGTCTTAAAACTGCTTATCAAAAACTTTATTGTCATAAAATTAAATGCATGGGTTCTCTGAAAGAACTTGTGAATTTGAATTTTTAAACTGTGCATGTGCAGCTTTCCATGTAGAGAATAAAAATATTGTTAACAGCATTTCAAAACTTTATTTTAAACTTCAGATATTTGTTGACTAATGCTTATGGTGCCTAAAACAGATTTTTTTGTACATGGTAAATACTTGATAAATACTTTTTATAAAATAAATGAGCACTTTATTTCGGAAAAAGGAATGTTTCATTCAATTCAATATATGTTATTCAGTAATTCAGTGACTATGTATTTACCTAAATAATGACTTGTTTTTGGCACTGACTTTGCACTGGGGATCTCCAGTTAATAAGACGATTAACTGTTCATATACTTCACTGAGTACTTGAGAGAATATTCCCTAGAAAGATAGGCATTAAAAATGTAAATGCAGATGTGAGGAGGTTTTTGAAAGTGCAAGGGACTGTGACAACATACAGTAAAGGGATTTATAACTCACTTATTGTTTTGAAGATTTAGAGTATGTCTACTACTGTTTGAGGAACTGAAATGCAAGGGTTATGCTTTAAAAGTAGTGTTTTTTAATCTGGTATTCCACAGCATTTTTTTTTTTTTTTCTTGTGATGCTGTTATGCTGTGTTGCCCAGGCTGGTCTCATGCTCTTTAGCTCAAGCAATCCTCCTACCTCAAGCTTCCAAGTAGCTGGGATTACAGGCGTGTGTGACTATTCACAGCTATTTTTACTGACTCATATGACGTGTTTTCTGAGGGTTTTTATACTTTCACATATACTTCTTTCCTTGTTTGATTACCGTGTTGTCTATTATTTCATTAGGAAATAATTACATATATGAAATATATAAATAATTATATATGTATATATCTAGTGTAGATGTAACAGGCTGGGCGCAGTGGCTCACGCCTGTAATTCCAGCACTTTTGGAAGCCTAGGTGGGTGGATTGCTTGAGTCCGGGAGTTCAAGACTAGCCTGGGCAACGTGGTGAAACCCTGTCTCTATTAAAAATACAAAAAACTAGCTGGTCATGGTAGGACTAGCTGGGTAATTCCAGTTGCTTGGGAGGCTGAGGTGGGAGAATCATCTGAGCCCGGGAGGTCGAAGCTGCAGTGAGCCAAGATCATGCCACCGTACTCCAACCTGAGAACAGGAATAAGACCCTATCTCAAAAGAAAAAAAAAAAAATCTATATAGATCTATGTAGATCTTTATAAATATAGATTAGATAGATGTAGCAAACTTCTTTATATTATATAAATCTAGGCTTCACTCTTCAACTAAATTATTGCCTCTTCTAAAATTTATTTTTGTGTCACTAATATCTAGTTCAGTGCCTTACATAGAGTAGGCACTTGTTAAATGTTTGTTGAATAAATAATATTTGCTGGTGGAATTGAGCACTCTTAAATACTTTGAATTTCTGAAACTGTTTAGAACCACTCAAAATTAAACTTGGTATCAGCATACTTACTAAGTACAGCTAGCTCTTTATCTTAACTTTTGAGATCCTAATCTTGGTGATTGTGAAAGGGAGAACAAAAGTAAACTTATTGGCATTTTAGTAGGTATGTGTTTAGTTTGCATACCTATAGTAAGATAAGCGGTCTAATGAATTTGACTAGGCCTAACTATTCTGCCAGCTCTAATTTGCATTTATACATACAGGTACTTATCCTAAATTACCATATTTCTGAATGGCCCACGTTATTTTAAAATATATAATCTTGATTTTTAAACTTTTATTTTGAATAAGCAGGATTGCTTCATGGTGGAAGGAGAGGATTTGAGACATGATTTTGAGCGCCTACAACTTGCCATGGAAATGGTAGGATTTCTTCCCAAGACACGAAGACAGTGAGTTTACTTGTTGTATTTTTATACCTCCAATAGAGAACACATGATATGTCTTCGAAAGATTTCTCCTGTTGGTCTTTTAAAATAGTTTTCTAAGTGGTAATCCTCATCTAGTACCTCATCCATCTCGAGCATTATTTCTAATTCCTTTTTTTGTCATAAATTCTTTTGAGAATCTGATGAAAGCTGACACTGTTGTTGTTGTAAAATGTACATCTTTAACAATTTGCATATAAATGCAGGAATTTATGGTGCCCCTGAAGCCTATCCATAGATGTTACTCAAAACTTTTGCTTTGTAACATTATTTTTATAGCTCTTCATTTTTTGTATATCAGTGATCTCTAATCTTATTAAATTATGCATACTTATCAGAGGCATAGTATTTAATTATCAGTGTATTTCCTCTGTATAGTTTATATCTGTACCATTCTAATAAGTTTTTAAATTGTAAATCTAAACAAATTAAAAATATGAAAAGGTTGAGATAAAGATGAGATAAATTATATTTGAAACAAATTATTTAAAATTAAAGACTCAACCTTGGCTCTCACCAGAAAAAAATAGTTACTTATAACTTTTTTGAGGGGGAGAGTTGTGTTGATGAGTATATCAGATCTGATTATATTGTTAAAATTTTTTTTTTTTTTTTTTTTTTTTTTGAGACAGGGTCTCACTCTGTCACCTAGGCTGGAGTGCTCACTGCAGCCTCAACCTCCCCAGGCTCAGATGATTTTCCCACCTCAACTTCCCAAGAAGTTGGGACTGCAGACTTATACCATCACACTTAGCTAATTTTGTATTTTTTGTGCCATGTTGCCTACGCTGATCTTGCATTCCTGGGCTCAAGTGATCTGCCTTTCTCAACCTCTCAAAGTGCTAGGATTACCAGCAGGAGCCACTGCACCCGACCTCTGTTATTAATTTTTAACCTCATGATTGATGACCCTATACTGAGAGTAGGAGAAAATCACCTCTGCTGTTTTCTTGTTTGCTTGCGCTTACATCATTGGTATGACTCTTTAATTAGCAGGCTATTTGCTAGAATCTTTTTATGAGAAGTCAATTAAAATCAAATAATACAATATGTAAGTTGGCATACCAACTCAATTGGTGACATAAACTACAGTTCACTGAAAATTAGTGAATTTCTATTAAAAATAATTTTTAAAAGAAGCTCATGAATTTGTTTTTGTCTTTTGACTTCCATTAGTTATGTTTCGGTTGATAGTTTATTCTTTAATCCAGAATAACATTATGCATTATTTTTTTAATAGACTTGTATTTACTGTGAGTCATGTGAATGATTCAAAGATTTTAAAACTTTAAATTATTTGAAAAATTAGATTTATAAGTTAGATGGTGATTCAGTACCTCTCAAATGTTGCTAAGGTAATATCTCAGGTTCCTAAAGCAATATCTTTGTTTTAGTTGGAATAGTTCGTAATTTTAGGAAAACATAGTGTTAAATTTTCGTAAGACAAATTTTGTAAGCCATATTTATTCTAAGAAAATAACTGCATGTGACACAAAGCTGTATGGAGACTGAGGAGTTTTTCAGTGGAGTTTCACAGTGTTTAGCTGTGTTAAATGCCTCTGAGATGTCAGATAAGTTAAGAACATAATATACTGTTCTTAGCTACATGGAGATGCTTGGTAACCTAAGGTTCCTGAATTAACAGGAGTTGATGGGATATATAGCATAAGAGGAGAAATTAGTTGTTGATTGGAGGGCACGTGCTCTTCTGACTCAGGAGGGAAATTTAGAACGGAGGGTCCATATGAAGTTGTTTCACAGTAGAGGTTAATATACCCCACATTGCTTCATACTTAACACACCCCCCCCCCACAAAAAACCGTTTACCCCAAACACCGTAATGTGGTATAGGAAAGCATTTTAACAACATAACTAATAATAAAAAATCAGCTAGGATACTTGATTAAAAAAAAATACAGATTCAAGGCCTTTCCTTTGGCAATTCTGATTCAGTGTATCTGAAACAATGGAAAAAAGCATTCCAGGTAGGATAAATAGCATTTAGAAAGGCATGGCCTTTTAAAACACTGTGACAATTCAGGCAATAGCAGAAGTCTCTTTGAAATAACTATATAAGAAGTGGTGTAATACTTAAGGCCATGAAAAGCATTTTAAACAGTATGTGATACATAGTAAACCCTCAGTAAATTTTAGTAATTATTCCCATATTGCTTATTTTCCAAAGACTAGATACTTCATATTTGTACTAGTTGGTTTGCTTAACTAGAATTTTAGAATGAAACCATCTTTGGGAATGGATACAACTAAGCTATAATTTGTGTTTTGTTTTCCCAGGATTTTCTCTCTTCTCTCAGCCATACTACATTTGGGTAATATCTGTTATAAAAAGAAGACATACCGGGATGACTCCATTGATATCTGTAATCCTGAAGTTCTGCCTATTGTCTCAGAATTATTAGAAGTGAGTGATTACATTCTCAGTTGTCATTTCAAATACTTTGTAACTTTTTATTTTTTATTTTGTGTATTTTGTAGGTGTAAATGGGTTAATGCTTTCTATTAATAATGTTTTTATTAGGCACTATTTTTAAATAGCATTTCCAAAAGATGGAATTTTTCCTGATACCTGCCTCAGTTTGCTATTGAGTGAGGCAGAATCTTTAGAAGATTTGTGTTTTCTCCTTTGCCTCCACTTGCTTCAGACATCCATAGTCCCTAAATTTGCTGGATAGGATGAATATTTCCACACTAGACTGTATAATGTTCTGGGGCTATGCTAATTTTTCTCTTTTCATATTTGAGATTTCTTCTCATACTAAGATTTTGGTTAGATTATTTTGTTTCAAGATGGGGGCATCTGGGTGGGTGGAGAAAAAAGGATACTACTTTTTTTTTTTCCTTATGGGTTGAATAGGACCTAAAGGTTCTCATCTCCTACCACGCTGCTTCTTACATCAAGGGCCTTTATTACCTGATTCTTTCTTTCTGGAGTGATGATTTATCATATATTCTTAACTTCTTTCTTGCCTACCTCCTTCTCATCTTGCCAGATTTATCCCATCAGATGGGGTGTCATTTCTTACAGGCCCTATTGTCTGGCATAGCAAGGAAATATATGTATGTATATACTAACCTGTGTATATACACATATCTATACATATTTTAATATGTAATCATCTGTATCTATATAAAGGTAAACATGAGTTCATGATGATGTCTCCAACTGTAATCCATCTACACATGGATCATTCTGGCCCTCTTCCCTTGCTTATCTGTGAACTCCTGCTTCAACAGTGAGAAAGCTGTCTTCTATCCTCTGCCATCCATTTACTTGTTTAATTCCAGTATACATGTGTAGTGGTATCAAAATTGTTAACCTGTACCCCCCTGGGAAATGACTTTTTCAACTAGAATACAGTGCTTATGCGCAATTCCTTTTACCTTTAATCCTACAGACTTCACTCATTTCCAAAATTACTTAGAACAGCACCTTTTCCTTCCACCCTATTTGTTGAGGTTTCGTATACTTGTCATGCATGCTGTTTTCTTGTCATAGTCTATATTCCTTCGTGGAATCCCCCAATCTCATAAATAATTTTTGATATTTGCATATGTTAAGTTTCACTCTTCATGCTATTTGGTTTTTGACAGATGCAGGAAGTCATGTGTCCACTATTATAGTATCATACAGAATAGTTTCACTGCCATAAAAATTCCCTGTGCTTTACCTGTTCAGTCCCTCCCCCTAAACTGCTGGCAGCCACTGACCTTTTTTACTACATATATATATTTTTACCCTTTCCAGGATGTAATATAATTGAATCATACAATATGTAGATTTTTCAGACTGCTTTGTTTTACTTAGTAATACGCACTTAAGATTTATTTATGTCTGGCTGGGTGTGGTGGCTCATGCCTGCAATCCCAGCACATTGAGAGGCTGAGGCAGGTGAGTTGCTTGAACCCTAGGAGTTCAAGACCAGCCTGGGCAGCATAAGGAGACCCCATCTCTACTAAAAACAACAACAAGAAAACAAAAAAAGCACAAAAATTAGCTGGGCGTGGTGACATGTACCTGTATACCCAGCTGCTTGGTAGGCTGAGGTGGGAGGCTTGAACCCCAGAGGCGGAGGTTGCAGTGAGCTTAGATTGCGCCACTACACTCCAGCCTGGGTAACAGAGCGAGACCCCGTCTCAAGAAACAAAAAAAAAAGATTCGTTCATGTCTTTCTGTGGCTTGATAGCTCATTTCTTTTTATCATGGGGTAATATTCCATTGTATAGATGTACTATAGTTTATTCATTTATCTGTTGAAGGACATTTTGGTTGTTTCCAGTTTTTGGCAGTTATGAATAGCTTGTTTTTAAAAAAAAAAATTATTCATCTTCCAAATCTTGGTTCCTAGGCCGCTTCATGTGGTTTAGCCTTAAGTGGTCTAAACTGACTCCCTAAATACAGAGCATTTGTTTCTGCTTAGCATAATTTAGTTTTATAGCATAAAGTTAATTGTTTATTAGTTCATGTCTAAGGTTGCAGTGCTCTTTGAGAGCAATGGATACCTCTTTCTTATTTGTCTAACCACCCAGTGTTTATTTTTTCTGTACATTGGGCATTGCTTATTAACTTCAGTGGAATGATAACCTAGCAGAGGAAGAGGCAGAAGAAGGGAGTACTGTGAATTGGAACTAGACCTACTGGAAAGAAATTCTACCAGGAGATGGAGTGTGGTATCTGAAGTTTGTAATTTTGAAGATCATAAAGGCCAGAGAACAGATGGCGTTTTAGTCAGGTATTTCAGGTGATACTTTAGTCAAGGGTTTGGTATTGTGACAGGGCATTGTGGCTACTTGTAAGTCTAGGCAGTTCAGCAGAAACCAGGGCTTCTGTTTCTAGTGCATCCTTTCTTCTTTGGTAAGAGACTGGTAAGAACAATTCAGGCAACTCAAAGAGGAACTCAGGTATGGGTTTAAAAAAAAAGAGAGAAATCTAATTCTGAGAATTGGGCTAACCAGTATCAAAGACAATGGCAAGTGGCAAATGTGATTTGACAGAAAATCTCACTTTTGAACCCCAGCTTCTTAAATTTCTTCTTGTGTATAATTTGTATTGGTTCTAGGGCTGAGGTTTAGTATTAAGTAGAAAGAAAATAGCTTCAAAATTCAGAAGCTAAAGAAGACACCTATCTCATCTTTAGTTAGTACTTAGAAATTATTTTAGAAAATGATTGCCTCTAGTTGGTTAAGACTGATAATAATAATTGCAATCTTAAGGCTTTGGTTGAGATAGAGTACAAAGATAAGCACATTGACTGGTTTATTTAAACATCCAAACTCTTTAGTTGTGATTTAATTTCTCTTCTTCCCATGGTGATTTAATTCAATGGTAAATATAGAAGAACAAATGTTTTTAAAGTAGTGGTTTAATTTTATTTATTTACTTTTCAGTTTTTTTTTGTAGTTACCTGAGGCGATAATGAATGTCTTGAGTCTTTACTAATGCCTATTTGGCATGGATACTTGTGAAAATTATTGAAAGGTGAACAAGCTCCAATTGATAAATTGTAGGTAATTGTGGAAGATGTTTTTGTTGTGAGATATTAGAACTGTCATCATTACCAAAAACTGTTCAGTTTTTAGCAGGTTTATGTATTTTGAGTGTATTTTAACATCTGTTGAAACAATATAAAGAATACGGTTTTTTTGTTGTTGTTTTTTTGAGACAGAGTTTCATTGTTGTTGCCCAGGCTGGAGTGCAGTGGCGCAATCTCGGCTCACTGCAACCTCTGCCTCCCGGGTTCAAGCCATTCTCCTGCCTCAGCCTCCCAAGTAGCCGAGGTTACAGGCATGCGCCACCATGCCCGGCTAATTTTGTATTTTTAGTAGAGATGGGGTTTCACCATGTTGGTCAGGCTGGTCTGCAACTCCTGACCTCAGGTGATCCACCCACCTTGGCCTCCCAAAGTGTTGGGATTACAGGTGTGAGCCACTGTGCCTGGCCAAGAATAGGTTTCTAATTAAATATCAGATTTTTAATTAGGTAAATATGAGAAACTTTGTAGAATGGATGTTAAACCCATTGCTACTTGTTCTGTATTAATAGTTTTTGAATATTCTAAAAGTATTACATTTAAGAATTTTTAGAAAATTATAGAGGAGCTGATTAAAAAATCATGAATTGGATAATATTTTCTTTAGGATCCTTACCAAATGTTATGCAAGATTAGTATGTTTTGGGGTTGTGTGGTTATGCGTAGATCTATGTACAATCTTTGTTAGGTTTTTGTGCTAGTTAAAGAGAACTCAGGAAATGAGTTGAGAGTTTTTGTACCCTTGCTCCTTTTTCTGCATTTAGAAGGATCATTAGCAGAGAATAACATGTTCCTCAAGGGTTTGAGAGAGGTCAACCTTATGAGCAACTGTATTTGATATCTTTTTATTTGTTCCATGTTAACTAATTTTTTAGGATTTTCAAATCTGGCTTGAGTTATTTGGATGATCTGTAGTTTTCTAAAAATGATGTATTGGATGATCTGTGATTTTCTAAAAATGATGTTTTGAATGTTTAGAATGTGTTGCTTTTGAGTTCTTTGTAAATAGTCTGTTAATTTCAGTCTTTAAAATTTTTTCTCTATGGTATTAGCTATTTGTGTTTCTTAGTTTTTTTCTTTTGCTTTGTGTGAGATTTGTCTTTTATGTTTTATTTTTCTTTCTTTCTTTTTTTTTTTTTTTTTGAGATGGAGTTTCGCTCTTGTTGCCCACACTAGAGTGCAATGGTGCGATCTCAGCTCACCGCAACCTGCGCCTCCCAGGTACAGGTGATTCTCCTGCCTCAGCCTACCAAGTAGCTGGGATTACAGGCATGCGCCGCTATGCCCAGCTAATTTTGTATTTTTAGTAGAGATGGGGTTTCTCCATATTGGTCATGCTGGTCTCGAACTCCTTACTTCAGGTGTCATTTTATAACTCAATCTTCTCCTTATAATCTTGTGCTAGGATTACAGGCGTGAGCCACCGCACCTAGCCATCTTTCATGTTTTCAAAGAGTTGGCCTTTAGATTGATCAGTTCTAACATTTTACTTGTTATATATTAATTTGTTTTAGGATATTTTCTTCCTTTTTTCCCTGTTATGAAATGTTGCCAGCACACAATATTATATAGAAAACAATGTAATCAACCCGTACTCACAGCCCCACTGAAGTAATAAAATATTGCATATAATTGAAGCCCACTGTGTACCTCTGTCTCCACCAGAGGTAACCACTATTATGAATTTGGTGTTCGTCATTCCTATTCTTGTTTCTGTATTTTCAGTATAGATAGATGTTTTTATAAAGAATATATAGTTTTGCCTGTTTTCAGTCTTTATGTAAATGTTATACTGTATGTATTATTCTGAAACTTGGCTTTTTTTCATTCCTTAGTATGTTTTTGAGATCTTTCAATTCTGATTTCTATGTTCTAGATTCTTCTTTTTTGTTGTTGTATAAGAGTCCATGGTATGAGGCTGGAAACGGTGGCCCACACTTGTAATCTCAGCACTTTGGAAGGCCGAGGCAGGCGATTACTTGAGCTTAGGAGTTCAAGACCTGCCTGGGCAACATGATGAAACCCCGTCTCTAATCCCAGCTACTCGGGAGGCTGAGGCAGGAGAATTGCTTGAACCTGGGAGGCGGAGGTTGCAGTGTTCCGAGATTGTGCTATTGCACTCCAGCCTGCGTAACAAAATCAAAAGTCTGTCTCAAAAAAAAAAAAAAAAAAAAAAATTGGCTGAGCGTGGTGGCATGTGCCTGTAGTCCTATGCTGGAATGCAGTGGCACAATCATGGCTCACTGTAGCTTTGATCTCCTGGGCTCAAACAATCTTCCTGCCTCAGCCTCCTGAGTACTTGGGAGTTCAGGCACGTGCCCCCATGCCTGGCTGATTTTACATTTTATTTCTAATAGAGAGGAGGTCTTGCTGTGTTGTTCAACCTGGTCTTTAACTCCTGAGCTCAAGCAGTCCTACTGCCTTGGGATTACAGGTGTGTTGGGATTATAGGTGTGAGCCACTGTACCCAGCCAATATTTACTTTTAATAATTGCAGAAATATACCTCACAATATAGCTTTGGATTTTATTACGTTTTTTTCTTAGCTTTGTTTTGTCATTTTTGTGTAATCTGGTATTATTTTTGTTTCTTAATGTATTTTGAATAAATCTAAAAGGTTGAGGCCTTTTATTTAAATTTGGTTGTTGATTTTTGGCTTTACTGCATTTTGTTATATGCCTCAAATTATTTCCAGTTTTTGGAATTTGAGAGTTGATCAGTGAATGCTCTGAAAGCTGTTGTATTTGCTAGGTAATATTTATCCATTCAATATGATTCAAAGTTGTTCTTTAAAAGATTATTGATCTATCATATGTTGTTGGTGGCAGGGTAATGCCTCTTTCTGTCATTTTATAACTCAATCTTCTCCTTATAATCTTTTTTTTTTTTTTTTTTGAGATGGAGTCTGACTCTGTTACCTAGGCTGGAGTGCAGTGGTGTGGTCTTGGCTCACTGCAAACTCCGCCTCCTGGTTTCAAGCGATTCTCTTGCCTCAGCCACCCGAGTAGCTATGATTACAGGTGTGCACTACCACATCCGGCTAATTTTTGTATTTTTGGTGAAGACAGGGTTCCCTATGTTGGCCAGGCTGTTCTCGAACTCCTGACCTCAAGTGATCCGCCCACCTTGGCCTCCTAATGTGCTGGGATTACAGTCGTGAGCTACCATTCACAGCTATTATAATCTAATACTTTTTACCGATAAATTTTTATATTGCCTACATTTATGAATGTTATGTTTTTATTATGTATGGATACTTTTATAAAATGTCCTTGTTTTACCACTTCATGCCCATCATCATGACAAAATTCTAAGGTCTGGTAACATTAAGTATAGTCAAGGTTTGGAAGAAGTAGGAACTCTCAGTGCTACTGCTGAAAGAGCTTATTGGTAAAAATTATATATAGGAATTTGGTAGTATTCTGTAAAGCTGAAAATATGTATGCTCTAACCTTCTTCTACTTTTAGGTTTGTTCTTCACAGAAACTTTTGAACTCATATTCAACAATATTTATTGTGGTTTATTTTGTAATCACACACAATTGTAAATAGTGTAAATGCCTACAAAGAGGAGAATGGATTACACACTGTGGTATATTTATATGCTGCAATGCTGTATAACAGTTAAGATGAATAAGGTTGATCTAAATTATCAACATGGTATGTACCTGTAGTCCCAGCTGCTCAGGAGGCTGAAATGGGAGGATTGCTTGAGTCTGGGAGGTCGAGGCTGCAGTGAATCGAGATCACACCACTGCACTGCAGCCTGAATGGCAGAATGAAACTGTCTGAAAAAAAAATAATAGTAAAAAATTATCCACATAGTTAGATCTGAAAAACATATGGGCAATATGATACTTTATAGGTAAATATTAAATTCATTTGACAGTATAGCATAGTGTTTATGAATATATTTAATACATATAAAGTGTAGAAACATGAACTGAAATGATAACGTGAAATTCATGATAGTATTTGTCTCTGGGGAGAGAGTGAGAACAAAGGAAGTGTCAACTTTATCTTAAAAGTTTATCTTTCATGAATAAGAAGAAACATCTGAAATGTAAGTATTTTTTGGAATATTCCTAGAATTCAAGATTCATGAAGAAGGAATATCTGAAACATAAATTAATATCCTTTGGAATATTTCTGGAATTCAAGAAGTGCTGTCACTTTTTAGTCCTTGCCTCCAGCTTGTGAGATTATGGTTGATCATCTTAAAATGTTTTTTGTACTGTTCTATATTTTCTGTATTCTGCATAGTGAAACATGTTTCTCTGTTATGATCAGAAAGCAAGCTTTAACTTGAAAAAACCCAGTTGTCTTTTGAGTGGGACACTTAAATTCCATTTTGGCCAGTATTAAAATTGCCCAGTGTATTGACTCTTTTCTCTGCTATGTAATTGCTAATCTCATTAAGCTTTTCCTCCTCTATTTGGCTTTTTCAAAAGATAATTCAACACATTGTCATAAATCTTACATATTGAGTTTACTTTTCTGTTTTATAGGTTAAAGAAGAGATGCTATTTGAAGCATTAGTTACAAGGAAGACGGTGACAGTGGGAGAAAAGCTTATTTTGCCATACAAGTTGGCAGAGGTATGATGAATTTTCTATGAAATGAAAGCATTCTGGACATTGTTAGAAGTTTAGGTTTGAAGTTTGGGTTTTCTCAACAGCAGGAAAATGACAAGGGCAAAAAGTTTTCATTGAAATATTTTCTAGGCCTTTAAATTTGATTGTGAATTTTCCATTGATTTGGAAACTTAAATTTGAATGTGATTGTGAGAAATAGGCTTGCATTTTTCTCCAAGGATCTTAACCTCTTCATCATTTCTAACTTTCATATTACTAATGTGGGGTAGATAGATGGTAGATTAGAATTATAAATGAGCAGTATTTGACCCAATTAATTATTATTCTTGAGACAGTTTCTTCTACCACATCATACTTTTTTGGTTAACTTTTTCATTGTTGGCTACTTGTTTGCAGTTCTTTCTGCTTGTCTTTTCTTTTTTCTTTATCTCTAAAAGGTGGAGTACCCTAGGACACAGTCTTTGTTTCTTCTTCTCTATATTCTTCATTGAGGTTATCTTACCCAGTCCCATCACTTTAAATATCATCTGTATACTGAGGCTTCTAGGTGATATTTGTTGCTACTATTATACCACTCAGATCTGTAGGGGTAGGAAAATTATTGAAAAGCCACTACTTTATGGAGTAATTTTATGAAAGTGATGACAAATCAAATTATAATTATAAAAATTGGACAGGAATATGAAATTAGAATATTAGAAGACAGAGGTGAGGAAATTGTGATTGAATTCTAGAGAATGTTTTTTAAGCTTGACATTGATCCATTTGTCTCATCTTCTGTGTTTCCAAGTCCACATTTCTTCTTACGTCATATTATAGTCTTCCACTTTGAGAGCTTCTTTCTAAACAATAAGAAAGCCAAATCTTTAAGAGTTTTATATTTCTTTTATGTAAAATAAAGATTCATTGCTTTTTACATTTTATTTCACTACCTTTTTCTTTTTTTAAAAATTTAACTTTAAGTTCCAGGGTATATGTGCAGGTTTGTTATATAGGTAAACTTGTGTCATGGGGGTTTGTTGCAGAGATTATTTCGTCACCCAGGTGTTAGGCCTAGTACCCATTAGTTATTTTTCCTGATCCTCTCCCTTCTCCCACTCTTTATCACCCCTTGTATGTCTCCGTGTGTTCTCATCATTTAGCTTCCACTTAGAAGTGAGAACATGCTGTGTTTGGTTTTCTGTTCCTGCGTTAGTTTACAAGGGATTATGGCTTCCAGCTTCATCTATATTCCTGCAAAGGACATGGTTTTCTTCTTATTTATGGCTGCATTGTATTCCATGGTGTATAAGTACCACATTTCTTTATCCAGTGTGTCATTGATGAGCATTTAGGTTGATTCCATGTCTTTGCTCTTGTGAATAGTGCTGCAGTGAGCATATGCTTACATGTGTCTTTATGATAAAATGATTTCTATTCCTTTGGATATATGCCCAGTAATTGGATTGCTGGGTCGAATAGTAGTTTTGCTTTTAGGTCCTTGAGGAATTGCCACACTGTCTTCCCCGATGGTTGAACTAATTTACACTCCCTCCAACAATGTATAAATGTTCCTTTTTATCCGCATCCCCACTAACATCTGTTGTTTTTCGACTTTTTAACAATAGCCGTTGTGACTCGTTTCATTGTGGTTTTGATTTGCATTTCTCTAATGACCACACCACCTTTTTCATTACAAAATTTTTTTAAATATTTATTTTCATTTTTAACTTTAAATGTAACCTTCTGAGATTGTTTTGTATTCCCAGCTTTGTTTTTGTTTATGTTTGTTTGGTGTATTTATTTCTTTTTTTTTTGAGATGGAGTCTCACACTGTCACCTGGGCTGGAGTGCAGTGATGTGATCTCGGCTCATTGCAACCTCTGCCTCCCAGGTTCAAGTGATTTTCCTGCTTCAGCCTCCCGAGTAGCTGGGATTACAGGCACCCGCCACCATGCCCAGCTAATTTTTTGTATTTTTAGTAGAGACGGGGTTTCACCATTTTGGTCAGACTGGTCTTGAACTCCTGACCGTGTGATCACCTGCCTCGGCCTCCCAAAGTGCTGGAATTACAGGTGTGAGCCACCGCGCCCGGCCGTTATTTCTTTAATAAAAATTTCAGCCCCTTAATCTCAAGCACTGAAATTGAGATATCCATTGGGGTATAGTGTGTCATCTGAGGCTTGAGGTTCTCTTCCAAGTTCACAGGTGGTTGACAGGATTCAGTTCCTTGTGATTCTAGGACTGAGGCACCTAGTTTTCTGTTGTTGTTGGATGTCAGTCAGGGGCCATTCTCAGCAATTAGAGGCTGATGTGATTTTTTGCCATGTGACCCTGCCTGTAACATGGCAGTTTGCTTCTTCAGGCTCAGCAGGAGAAGCTCTATTTACAGCAGAACTCAAATCCCTTTTGAAGAGCTTTTTCTGATTATGTCAGTCCTATCCAGGATGATCTCCCTTTGATTAAAAAATCAATTGGTTTGGGTTTTTATATCTTTAAAATCCCTTCATTTTTATCATGTAACATCAGGTTCATATGGGAGTGGAATCCATTGTATTTACAGTTCTGCCTACACTTACGAGGAGGGAATTATACAGAACTTGTACTCCCCAGGGGATGGGAATCTTGTGGGCTATCTTGGGTTTTGGTCAAACACAGAAGTCAGGAGTGGATGTAGAGAGATGAGTTCAGAGGCTGCAATAGTGAGAATGATATTTGCTTTGTAGAATGGTGACATATTGACAGGGAGAAATGTATGGATTTAAAAGAAAAAAAATTGATGACTAAATCAACAGGACCTGGTAATGACTTGAATAATGGGAAGCAAGGCAAACAAAGGAGGTGTCAAGGATGAGTCCTACATTTCTGGTTTACACAGCTGTAAGAATATTGGTACCCTTCAATGAGATAGGAAACACTAAATGAGGTCTTGTTTGGGTGGGAAAATATTACTTGGTATTTGGGTTTGCTGAGGTTAAGCTATGAAAGACAGACATGCGTTTCAGAGAAAAGGGCTGGAAGTATAAAATTTGGAGTACAAAGTAAATAAATAGGTATTGTATTGGCATATCTGGATTCTATAACTATGGTATGTTATAAAAAGGGTACATTATGTAAACCATAGTGTAGTTAGACTTTAGTTTTTATCTTTGTCTGAAGGTCTGTCTTTTAAATTCAACTCATTTATAAAATTTATTGATAATGTTTATATGCTTATTCTATGTCTTATATTTGTTGATTTAGTTTTCAAATATTGTACTTTCCCTGAATTTTATCAGATTATCTTCATTTTTCTTTTCTTTCTGGGGGAAAAATACAGTGGTATTCTATTATATTTTCATTCTACCATTGGTTTTCTTGATAGTTGGTTCACCTTACGCTCAGATTCCATATCCAAGGATTCAACCATTTGCAGATTAAAAATATTCTAAAACTGCACAACAATAAAAAATAATACAGGTTTCTGGTGTTGAAGATAGAGAATTTGATACCAATCTTCTCTCTGCTATGTAGGCAGTTATTTTTTGGTCTAGGAACTGGAAGCTTCTTTTTCCTTCAGTATTCAGAAATTAATTCATCACCTGTGTGGTAGGTTGTAGTATTACCTTCTTTTTACAGATGTATAAGCAGTAGCCTAAGAGGTTAAGTAACTTAGTCACGATTATGCAGCTAGAATAAGTAGAAAAACTAGAATTGGAAGATAGTCTAGTTCTTAATCATTACTCTCTTATTTTCTTTATACTTCAAAACAGAGTTATAAATATATGCCTGAATATACAAGCTTCAAAATAAACCCCTAGATAATAAATATGTAAATTGCTAGGATTTATATTCTTCTAAGTGCCAAGACTCAATTCTGTAAGACATGTGCCCTACCCTACTCCTCCCCCCCTTTTTTTTTTTTGTAAATTTATGCTTTCTAAATGGTGAAATTCTTGTTTTTTTAAGAACAATTTCAGACTTACAGGAAAATAAAGCAGATAGTATAGAGAATTGTCGTAAACTTGGAAAGCTTAGAGTGAGGAAAAAATAAATTTTGTAACTACATAATGAAGGAATTGTTTCTGTCCTCAAGGATGGAGTAATTCTAGGAGTTTCTATGGGTGACAAGCTGAAGACAACTATCAATGTAATTGTGGTTGTATTAGTGTATGTTTTAAGAGGGTGATTTGGATCCCGCAGAAATTAATGGCTGTTTGCTAACAGATTTGTTCCTCTGCCTAGAATACTCTTACCCACTTTAACTGGCAAAGTCATTTGTTTGTAAACTTCCAATTATACCTTCTTTCCTAGGGGGAATATATATCCCAATTTTTAGTAAACATGTTTTGAGCTGGGTGACCTACATTTTGTTTCTCTTATCTTTAATGGCGGTTTTGACCTAGATTCTCTGAGTGGGACTAATTGAATGAGTACATATGGAAAACTTCAATTGACTGGGTGCGGTGGCTCACGCCTGTAATCTCAGCACTTTGGGAGGCCGAGATGGGTGAATCACCTGAGGTTAGGAGTTCGAGACCAGCCTGACCAACATGGAGAAACCCTATTTCTACTAAAAATACAAAATTAGCCAGGCATGGTGGCGTGTGCCTGTAATCCCAGCTACTTGGGAAGCTAAGGCAGGAGAATCACTTGAACCCAGGAGGCGGAGGCTATGGTGAGCCGAGATTGCGCCATTGCACTCTAGCCTGGGCAACAAGAGCCAAACTCTGTCTCAAAAACAAACAAACAAAAAAGTTATAGATTTTTTATTTTGAGAGAAAAATTAGTTTCTAATTCAGAATAGTAAGTTTCTTTCTTGAATGGGAGCAAAAAACTTTGTCATGGTACCTTAATCATATCATTGTCAATTCTACATGCACTTGTAATCCTTTTGTTTTTCAGGCTGTGACAGTGAGGAACTCCATGGCTAAGTCTCTATATAGTGCCCTGTTTGACTGGATAGTTTTTCGAATTAATCATGCACTTCTGAATAGTAAAGATTTAGAGCATAATACTAAGGTAATGATATATTAGATTATAATGTTTTTCCCTAAAAGCTATTTTAGTAAACTGGTTAATACATGAAATTTAAAAACACAGAATTATATAGAGTAATAAGTAAGAAATCACTTTTATTCATTATTTATTACCCTGTTCAGAAGAATTGTTCTGTGTGTCTTTCCAGACCTTTTTTATTATGTGTTTTTACTTCCCAAACGTGTATATTCAGAGTTGCTTTAAAAAATGTAAATAGAATCATGCTCTCTGTATTCTTTCAAACATATATATATATATATATTTTTTTTTTTACCTAGAATCTCTTGAAATATTTTCTGTCTCATTATATATCTGGACCTGGCTATTTAAAAAAATGTTTTAATATAAATACATAATAAGATGTGTACCATAAATCCATCCATTAAAAATAGATTATTTTTGTTTTATTGTTATAGATAATGCTGTAACAAATATTCTTTTACTTACCTGTGTATTCATTTCTCTAGGATAAAATTATCAAAGTGGGATTGCTGTCTTTGTTTGTTTGTTTGTTTAAGATGGTATCTCGCTCTCACCCAGGCTGGAGTGCAGTGGCATGGTTTCGCTACAACCTCTGACTTCCAGGTTCAGGCGATTCTCCTGCCTCAGCCCCCTGAGTAGCTGGGATTATGGGTGCCCAGTATCACATCCAGCTCATTTGTGTATTTTCAGTAGACACAGGGTCTCACCTTGTTGGCCAGGCTGGTCTTGAACTCTTGACCTCAGGCAATTCACCTGCTTCGGTTTCCCAAAGTGCTGAGATTATAGGCATGAGCCACCATGCCCTGCTGATTGCTAAGTTTAAGGATAGATACATTTTAAAAATTGACCACTTTCCAAAAAAGACTATACATTTCCAGCAGCAGTGTGTGAAAGCACCTGATCCCCTACACCTTTACCCACATTGGATGTTATCAGTATTTAAATTCTCCTAATCTGATAAGGGAATGGTCATTTTATTGCATTATTTTTAATGATAGATAAAAGTTCAGCATCACCTTATGTTTTCTCTATTTTATTTATTCTGTATGTTTTTAAAATATCTTTGTGTTATTTTTGTTTTTTATTTTGTCTTTTTGATACTCCTTTTATTTTTAATTTAATTTTATTTTTGAGACAGTGTCTCACTCTTTTTGCCCAAGCTGGAGTACAATGGTATGATCTTGGCTCGTTGCAACCTCCATCTCCTGGGTTCAAGTGATTCTCCTGCCTCAGCCTCCCAAGTACCTGGGATTACAGGTGCTCGCCACTAGTTTTTGTATTTTTAGTCAAAATGAGATTTCACCATGTTGGCCAGGCTGGTCTCAAATACCTGACCTCAAGTGACCTGCCCTTCTTGGCCTCCCAAAGTGCTGGGATTACAGGCGTGAGCCACCGTGCCTGGCCTACTCCTTTTTAGAAGGCATTTATTGTGGATATTTGTGGAGGCCTATAGTTTGATATATATTGCAATTATTTTCTTAGTTATTTACTTTTTAGATTTATTTATAATATCTGTTTTTGTGATTTTATGTTGTAATTTTTTTGCAGTTAATTCTGTCGTTTTTCTTGTTTTTAGTTTTGCATTTTGTATATGTATTTTACTTACAGAGGAAGGCCTCTTCTAGCCCAAGATTATAAAATATTTATTCTTATATTTTTATAATTATAATTTTTTATGTTTAGACTTTTTCTAACTAGAATTTATTTTTAATATGGCAGATGATAGGTATTTAATTTCACATCTAGTTGTATTTTCTGGGCAGCCTTCATGGACTAGTCCACCTTGTCAGACTGATTAAAAATGTCATCTTTTTAATTTAATCATATTGCCTTAAATGTGAAATTGCTCTTATGTTAATTTTTCATGCTTCAGGTAAACTCACAGTCACAAAAATTAATTTAAATTGTAATCTAATTTGTCAAATTGATATATTTTCGAAGGACATTATTTTAATTTTTTTAAGGGCCTAAACTTGGCAGAATTAAACAAAATAGTACAGGCTTTAAAAAAAATCTTACTATTTATCATTCATTATATCAGTTTGCCCATTGTATCTCTTAGCACCAGTGGAGAAAAATTATTTTCATTTAACCAAAATTGTCATACAACTGTATTTCTAGAATGGGTTGGGGTCATGAGAAAAGTGTTTATATGCAGGTATTAGAGCCAAATCCACAGTAAGAAGTTAGCTTATTCCTAGAAGTGAACTAGAAGAATAAGCATTTGTGTTCTGTATTCTACCAAACAGCTGAAAGATTTGAATGTGGTTGACTTTAGGGAGCACACCTTGATGAGGCAGGGATTGCTGTCTTTCGTTATAATCCTTTTAGCACTATTCAACATTTTAAACCTCATACTTTTTTTTTTTAAATAAATATTTTTAACTTTATGAAACCATATGTTCTGGCTGAGTGTGGTGGCTCACGCCTGTAATCCTAGCGCTTTGGGAGGCCGAGGCGGGTGGATCACCTATACTCAGGAGTTTAATACCAGACTGGCCAACATGGTGAAACTCGTCTCTACCAAAAATACAAAAAATTAGCCAGGAGTGATGGTGCATGCCTTGGTAAACCCAGCTGCTGGTGAGGCTGAGGCAGGAGAATCGCATGAACCCCGGTGGCAGAGGTTACGGTGAGCTGAGATCATGTCACGGTACTCCAGCCTGGGCAACAAATCGAGACTCCGTCTCAAAAAACAAACAAAAAAAAGAAACCATACGTTCTGACATCTAGTTTCACTCAGTCTTCACGAGGCTTATAAAATATACTAGTTTGGTTCTTAACGAAGAATTCTATTTATTGGAATGTAGAAGTCAAAATAGGAAAAATTGCATCGTCTTCTTGATATAGCCAGGAGTAACCTGCCTCTCTTGATCCTTCATTTAAATAACCTTTTGATTTCCCCATACTCTGTTTTTTTCCATTCCCTTTTAGATCTTAGGGATTTCTAAGGTTTCTTAAGATAACAGGCCATTAACCTTGCTTCACACATTTCTGTAATCTATAGATTATATGTATTAACGGTTTGGATGTATTTTTTAATTAGGACAAAAGTAAGATAAAGAGAACTGGAATACTTTTAATTCATGATATATTTTGAATACTGACCAAACACAATCCCCTGTGTACTGCTTTAGAGGAATTGAGCATTTTGTTACTCATGTTGTGGATATTTTTCATTAAATAAATTTAAACATTACTTTTAATCAAAACTTTCTCTTGTTTTACAGACATTGTCCATTGGTGTTCTTGATATTTTTGGGTTTGAAGATTATGAAAATAACAGCTTTGAACAGTTCTGTATTAATTTTGCTAATGAACGTTTACAGCACTACTTTAATCAGCATATCTTTAAATTGGAACAAGTGAGTACCTAAATATGTATACACTTGTCCCCCCATCACACATATCTTTCAGTCATACTCATAATAATTCACTTTATTTTTTCAGACATTTTATTGATTTACATAGTATTTCTATTAAATATTGAAACGTGCCTTTACAAACAAGAATAACAGATGTAAATTGGCTTGGGAAGAAATACCGTTGCCTCTTTGTATATGTAAACTCAACTGATGGGGTTAGAAATGTGTAAGATACAACAGAGTAGTCTGGTAGCTTCAATTGTTTATCATAATATCATTTATAATATTTTATTAAAAGAATGGAAAGCACATAATAAGCATTTTAAATCTTGTCTTTCAATACAAATGTTGTGGTCCACATATCATTGTAAGCAGATGACAAAGGTTTTATAGTCCCCGAAATAGATTTGCTGGCTGGGCGCGGTGGCTCACAGCGATAATCCCAGCACTTTGGGAGGTCAAGGTGGGTGGATCTCTTGAGCCCAGGAGTTAGAGACCAGCCTGGGCAGCATGGCAAAACCCTGTTTCTACAAAAAATATAAAAATTACCCAGATGGGGTATTGCATGCCAGTAGTCCCAGCTACTCAGGAGACTCAGGTTGGGGGATCACCTGAGCCTGGGAGGTGTAGGTTGCAGTGAGCTGTGTTCGAGTCACTGCATGCCAGACTGGGCAACAGAATGAGACTGTCTCAAAAAAAAAAAATTGCTTATATATGCTTATTTGATTGCACCTTTGTTGTTTTTGCAGGGGTGTATGTTTTTTAGAAATGGGTCTTCTTGCTCTGTCACCCAAGCTGAAGTACAGCGGCTTGATCTTGGCTCACTCTGTCGACCTCTGGGGCTCAAACAGTCCCCCCACTTCAGCCACTCAAGAGCTGGGACCACAGGTGCACGTCACCACACCCAGCTAATTTTTGTTTTTATTTTTTATAGAGACAAGGTGTCACTACGTTGCTCAGACTGGTCTCAAACTCTTAGGCTCAAGCGATCCTCCCCCCTTGACCTCCTAAAAATGCTGGGATTTCAGGCACAAGCTACCACGCCTGGCCTTGAATGAACCTTTGAATAAAAAGATGTGTGTGTTTGTTTTGTTTTGCTTTTATTGCTGGTGTTGATTGTTTTTTTCTTTTCTTTTTTTTTCTTTCACACAGGAGTTTAGAAACAATGGTGTTGATTTTTAATTGCTACCTTGGGCTTGGTCACTGTGTGTAATGCTAAGTACAGTCAGTCAGTCCTCCTTATCTTTGGGTTTTACATCCAAGCATTCAACCCATGGCTGATACAAAGCTACTGATACAAACCTGCAAATACAGAGGGCTGACTGTACTAAACCATTTTATATTAGAGATTTGAGCATCTGTGGATTTGGTATCCACAGGGGGTCCTGGAGCCAATCCCTCGAGGATATGGAGGGCCAACTATATGCTTGTTTGATTGCTTTGGTCTCTTAGTTCTAGGATGGGATAGAGGAGCTTATTAACAGAATCTCAAGTCAATACAGAGTGTAGATACAAAGAAACTAGGTATGGAGAGACCAAGATGGGTAACTAGATATTTCTTATGAGAATCTCAAGATTGATTAAGTTAGTATAAAAAGAGTGTGCTTTCGGCTGGGAGCGGTGGCTCACACCTGTAATCCCAGCACTTTGGGAGGCCGAGGTGGATGGACGAGGTCAGCAGTTTGAGACCAGGCTGACCAACATGGTGAAACCCCATCTCTACTAAAAATACAAAAATTAGCCAGGTGTGGTGGTAGGAGCCTGTAATCCCAGCTACTAAGGAGGCTGAGGCAGGAGAAACGCCTGAACTCGGGAGGCGGAGGTTGCAGTGAGCTGAGATCGTGCCACTGTACTCTAGCCTGGGCGACAGAGTGAGACTCCGTCTCAAAGAAAAGAGTGGGCTTTCAGTTTCCATGAGAATTATTGGGGTAAAGGGAGGGTCAAACAAAATGTGGACTTTTTCTCCAAACTGAGGTTGAAATCAGTAATAGGTTTACATTGTACCCCAGAATTTGTGTGTGAGGACATAGGCAGACACAGGTTTCATCAAACTGAACTCAAGGGAAATGGTTAAGAATAGAGAATGAACAGAAAGACTACAGCAGCTAGCAGGTCTACAGAAAAGGGGGAGAAAAGATCTTTACATCATCAAGTCTCCCATCATTGGATCTTGTTGCTCTCTGTCTTAACTTTTTAAAAAAGTGCCTCTATTTTGCTTAAAGGACATAATGACTGGTTAACAATAACATGACAATATTAGTCCTGGCCAACTTGATGAATGCTTAAAGTTTTAAACATACAACCTTTTAGCTAGATGCTACACTAGAGCTTTGGAAAGATAATATTGTTATAATATTAGCTAACACTTATGAGTTATGTAGTGTTATTTATCAGTCAGTACTATTTTTATTCTAGTTTTTCAGATGATGTCTAAAGCCAGTATTCAAACCTTAACACTCTAGCTGTATAATATTTTCTTTTAACCAAAAGCTAAGCTGGGATTGCCATCCATGTCTCTTGATTCAGTCCAAGACTCTTACTTAAATCATACTAAATTAATATTCTTTATCTCTTGCAGATAAATATATGTGTTAAAAGGGTGAGGGAAAGCATTTTGTTGTCTGGGTTCTATATTTTACAGAGCAGAACATCAATTGCTCTGTGGATCATTAAACAGAACGTTGGTTAAGTTGCTTTTGAAAAAAGACAAATATTCTTTATTGTAAATTGAAATTATTCTTTTCTAGAAGTCTAGATTAGACAGCCAACCAGAAGAAATGCCTTGGCCATAAATGTATTATATAAAAATAAAAAACCTTAGAGTTTATGGAAAATGTGTTCAAAACTACTTGGAAGATGGGTGATTCTCATTTACTTGCTACCCTGAATATCAATGTTTTGGGCAATGTGGTGCAATTATGGATCAGAATCTTGTCAAGTGTCTTATTTATATGTACCTCATTGGTAACTGGTATGAAATGGGTACTCAGTGACTCAGTGATTACTTGTTAAGTTCAGTTGAGTATAAAATCAGTTGAGGTTAAAATATTTAAAAAGAAGATATAGTATCATGGGTACGTTTGTAGGAAAAATCTTCAATATGATGACTGTGGTTTGGTTCTAAATTTTGTCCAAAAGGAGTACATAGGCATGTAGGATGGGAAAGAGATATAATAATTGCCATGCAGGATGTAAATGCTGAAATCAGATATAAGGTAAAGTAGTTACACAAAGGATGAGGTTGATTGGAACTACCTGAAAGCTGCAGAAATTTTCCAGGGTTGATTCTGGTATATAGCTTCAAATAGTGAGCTGGAGCTCACTAGATTGTTAATGGAAAATGTATTTTAGGCAAAGGTAACACACACATTGTACTTAAAACTGTGGACTTACATGTCGTGCAGAGAAGATTAGAATTTTTGAGACAATGAGAAGCTATTTGAAGTATATTTAGCAGAGAACTTGAATTGGACTGAAGAGCAGTGAACTGGAAAGAAGGAGAAAAATCTATGAACTAGTTGAGGTACTGTCATGTGTCACTTAATGATGAGGTTGTGTTCTGAGAAATGCATCACTGGGTGATTTTGCTGTTGCATGAACATCATCCTGTATTTACACAAACCTAGGTGGTATAGCCTACTACACACCTAGGCTATATGATATAGCCTGTTGTTCCTAGGCCACAAACCTATACAGCGTACTACACTGAATATTGTAGGCAGTTGTAACACAGTGGTAAGTATTTGTGTATCTAAATGTATCTAAACATAGAAAAGATACAGTAGAAATACAATATAAAAGATAAAAAATGGTACAGTTACATAGGGTACCTACCACGATTAGAGCTTGCAGGACTGGAAGTTACTCTGGGTGAAATGTTGGGTGAGTGGTGATAAAGGCCTAAGACATTACTGTACACACACTAGTTAGACTTTATAAACACTGTACACTTAAGTTACACTAAGTTTATTTATTTTTTTCTTTTTGTAATAATAAATTAACCTGAGCCCACTGTAATGTTTTTACTTTATAAACTTTTTTTGACTTTTTGACTTTTGTAGTAGCAATTTAAAACACAAACACATTGTACAACTGTGCAAAAATGTTTTCTCTTTATATAATTATAAGCCCTTTATTAAATTTTTTTAAAACTTTAAAAACATTTTTGTTAAAAGCAAAGACACGTACATACATATTAGCATGTATACATACATATTACCATATTAGCATGTATACATACATATTACCATAGCATATTAGTATAGGCCTACACAGGGTCAGGATCAAGATGTCGGTAGATAATACGAATTTTTCATGAGATTAGGGATCACTGTTGTATATGCAGTTGGTCCTTGACTGAAATGTTTTTGTGTGGCACACGACTGTAAAATGGGTGAGTGATTCTGAACTGAATCAAGGTAGTGGTAGAGCCTATAATGTAGACTAAGAGACAGACCCAAAGAGGTTTCTGATATTTAAAAGTACAGCTATCCCTGCATATCCACAAGGGATTGGTTTAGGGACCCCCTGCTGAAGAATACTAAAATCCACAGGTGCTCAGGTCCCTTATGTAAAATAGCACAGTATTTGCACATAATCTATACACATTCTCCAGTATACTTTAGATCATCTCCCAGTTTCTTATCCTTAATACATTATAAATGTTATGTAAATAGTTGCTATACTGTTTCATTTCTAAGTTTATATTTTTTATTGTATTTTTTTTCTAAATATTTTTAATATGTGGTTCATTGGATCTACAAATGTGGAATCTTTTGCAGATATGGAAGGCCAATTGTATGTTTTCTGTTATTTGTATTACTGCCCTCTTTTTTCTTTACTTGCTGAGAATTATTCTTCATTTTATTGATTCATGAGTAAATTGAACAACAGTTGTGTGCCAGGCAATGCGCTAAGCATAGAAGATAGAAAATTTACAGTGCAGGGATCTTATTTGAGGAGCTCATAATCTAGCAAGTTTTTGTTTCATCCATTTTACT